GATCGCGCAAACAGAACCACGGATTTACATGACGAATTAAGCGGCTAACTTGCCGCAAGCGAACAGATCAGTTGATTGGACGCCTAGGCATATTTCGCTTATGTACTGATTGGTTCGTATTTGGCTACGCTGGAGCAGGTTTGTTCAACTGATTCAAAGGGAGAATCTCGAGAACGTAGAAGCATCGTTAGATTTTGAATTGACCTAGTTATTTACATTGAGGTAACGCTGTCACTTTTGCTGAGCTTTTTGTCAAATAAGCCGTTTGTCCTTGAAGGACAGAGTTCTGCGACATGATGTCAGAGAAAATCGAGACAATATCCCCGAACGGTGCCCAGTTGCTGATTGGAGCGACACCAGCTGTGCAGCCACCTGCTCCGTTGAACATGGAAGAACACAACTTGGCCAGCAATGGGAGAATCTGGAGAAGCAAGTGGACCGATTTCTGAGTATTCTTGCGTCTGAAGGAGCGACCGATGGCGTATCGCCTGATGATGTTTCGACATCCGATCGGAGATGAAGCACGCCGCGTCCTGGAAACGATGTAGTGTGGAAAGGACGAAGACTCAGCTGATCTGGAAACAGTAATCCGAAAATTAGGTGATTGATGCGAAGGTCAGACTAACAGGACGTATCAGCGGCATCTCCTTTTTACTTGAAACCGCCGCCGAAACGAAACTATCGAAAACTATGTTTCGGAGCTGAAGATCCTAGTTCGTTCCAGTAATTCTTGCAATTGTATGGCTGACAGCCTCATCCGGGATAAAATCATGCTGTAGATCAATGATGAAAACATCACCGAGCGGCTTTAGCTGCAACTACAGTTATCGCTCAGACAATGCCTTGATTATGGCACAGTGAATCATCAACTGCACACCACATCCAGCAAATGCGCTTGCCGGCTGAAGCGGTGCTATTTGCCGTATCCACTTTACCTGACGAAACTGCGAATTCTGTTATCAAGACATACGAAACTTAGAAATTCTGCGCCGAGCCACACCCGGAGGATCATGATCAATGTCCGGCTTGGGGCCGAATTTGCACCGAATGCGGCAGACGGAATCATTTCGCTCGACGCCGCTAGTCTTCGAAAAAGAATGCACTCAATCATGACACAACGCCCTCCGACTGAAAATTCAATCAGCAACGTGTAGCGGACAGGACCAAAGAAGTGCGTCTACGCAAGTTTATTGGTTTGTGACGAGATGGTGCGTTTCCAATTGGACTCGGATGTCACCATAAACATAATGCCTGCGGAGTGATGCCCAGAAATTCGTGTTTGATCTGATCAGGGAGTCCTGTGCATGTGGAGCGGTTCCAATCTCCCGCCGAAAGATTTGGCCACAGTCAAAATGATCAATCCCAAGGCCGGCTCTTCACATCAGTTGGATTTCGTGGTCGTGGAGGAAGGGCTCACGCCGATTCTCGGCATTGATTCCATCCAATGTCTTGGCTTTATTCATTTTAACCATGCCCGTTTTGTACATGTATGTGAAGCAGAGACAGATGTTAGTGAATAGTACCCGTCCGTGTTTAAGCCAGGTTGGAGGGGGGGGGGTTGAACGTACCGTTCATTTGTCACCAGATCCGTTAATACGACCGATTACATTGCCAGCTAGGAGGGTTCTGTTTGTATTACCTGATCAATTAGACACCGAATTAAGTAACTTGACGCAATTGGGCGTAATCGCTAAGGTCGACGAGTCGACAAACTTGGTTAGCCAAGTCGCGGTTGTTAAGAGATACACGGTGATTTGCGTCTGCGCTTAGATCTTAAGCCGTTGAATGAAACTTTGCGTAGAGAACACCATACACTGTCAGAATTAGACGTTGTCCTGCCGCGTTTAGCTAAGGAGAAGTACTTCACCAAGACTGATCTTTAATCAGCGTACTGGCACGTGGTCCTAGATGTCGAATCCAGTTTCTTAATGACGTCTGACACATCCTTCGGATGATTTCGATGACTACGTTTACCGTTTGGTTTAAAGGTTCCGAGTGGAATTTTTCAGAAGCGGTTATTGTAACTGGTTGACGATCTAGAGGGTGCAACGTGTGTAGCAGAGTACGTGCAAATTTACGGCTCCACTAGATAGGAACATGAAGTCAATTTGCACCACCATTTGCCGCATTGCGTTCATAAGAACATAAGCTTAAGAGCGAGAAAGTTGAGCTCCGGAAACCGGAAGTGATTTTTCACGGACAAGTTCTGACATCCGAAGGAATAAAGATTGATCCCGGAAAAATCAAGGCAGTGTGGGAGATGCCACAACTTAAGGACGTCAAAACTGTCAGTCGTTGAAATGGCATGGTAAATTATCTGAGCCGATTCTTGCCGAGAGTTGATAAAATTCATGACGTCCGGCCGGAGACTGACACAGTAAGGTGTAAAGTGGAGTTGGGGAAAAGCAGGAAGGAGCTTTTACAACCATCAAATAGCTTAGTAGCTATGTACCAGTACTCGGTTACTATGATCCAGCTCTGCCTTTGGAAGTGGTGCGATAGCAGGGAGAGCGGGATAGGCGCCGTTCTCAAGCAAAATGGTAAACCTTTGGATTCCTGTTTAAGCGTTCACGTCCGTGGAACAGCGTTATGAACAGATCGAGGAGATGCTCGCCATCGTCTAGCCGATGGACCGATTCAATGACTACACCTTTGAAAGGAAGACTACTGTGTATACTGACCACAAGCCACACGTGTCAATAGCCAGTAAACCGTTGTACATTGTCCCTTGACGTCTACAGGGTATGCTTATCCGGCTTTAAAAGTACGACATGAACTTTATGTACACCCCGGGGACGCAGATGTTCGTCGCGAATGCTCTTTCAAGTACTCATCTTCCGACAGTAGAACACCAACAGGAAGAACTCGAGGCGGTCAATCTCGTACAACATCTGGCGGTAAGGACAGATCACCTGAAAGAGATACGGCGTCATACGGAGGCAGACGCGACGTGCGTGGCGTTGCGCGAAGTGATTTTGAGTGGATGGCAAGATACAGATAGCAACCTCCCGAAGGAATTAACGGCATTCTTCAACTTTCGGGACGAACTCACGATGAATGACTGTTGGCTGTTCAAAGGAAATCGCATTTTGATCCTGCCGTCGCTTCGTTGGAGCACGCTTATCGAGCCCATTTGGGTATTAACTACAGCATTAGCAGAGCCCGAGAACTGATGTTCTGGCCCGGACTCAGCAATCAAATACGAGACCATGTATCAAGCTGTTCAGCCTGATTGTCCCAGGATGCTCGCCAAGTCAGGGAACCAATGATAGTGCGTGAGGCTCCTGACTGACCATGGCATAAAGTAGCAGTGGACTTGTTCCGTGACAATGGGAAAGACTATTAAATCACAGTGGACTATTACACCGACTACTTCGAAATCGATCCACTCACAGCTGCCAACACGGAAGCGGTCATCAACAAGCTTAGATGTCAGTTCGCTAGACGTGGAATGCCGAAAGAACTGATCTCTGACAATGGACCACAGTTTAAAAGTGCTGTGTTCCAAACCTTTGCAAATAAGTGGGAATTTTCGCATCGACAAACTGGCCCGTATCACAGTCAGTCGAAGAGTAAAGCTGAGACGGCGGTCAAACAAGCCAAGAGGCTGTTGTCGAATGCCAGAGCCACACATGAGGGCCTGTATCAAATACTGTTGGAGATTCGCAACACGCCAGTACTGAACATCGGTCTCAGTCCAGTGCAAGGTCTGTACAGCAGAAGGACAAGAGCCCTAATGCCTGCATGTGCAAATGCAAATGGGCTTAAGAAAACGAATGGCTGACCAAAAAAGGTATTACGACCGCGGGACTCGTGCGCTACCTGAGCTATCAGTAAACGATTAAGTGTGGATCCAACCAATACCGGGTGTCAGCGAATGATGGAAGAAAGGTGCATGGACCGCGAAGATCGGAGAAAGATCTTATGAAGTCAGTACTGGAGGGAAGGTAATCAGAAGGAATCGAGTGCAGCTTAGGTGACACCGGGAACGACAAGATGAACCTGGTGCAAAGAATATGACGGCTTAAGGAGAGGTCAGAAGGACAGGAGCAGAAAAGACGACGCGGAGCGGAAGAGCGTACGGAGTCCTCTGCGACACCGATGCGGTTGATCCCGAAAAACGGAAGGATGTGATGGGCTTGTGCAAGCAGAAGAACGATACGGATTTACGTGACGAAATAAGCGGCTAACTGGCCGCAAGCAACAGAGCAGTCGATTGGAAACCTACGCATATTTTGATTATATGCTGATTGGTTCGTATTTAGCTACGATGGAGCAGGTTTGTTCAACTGATTCAAAGGAAGAATCGCATGAATGCAGTAGTGTTGTTATTTACTGTATTGACCTAGTTATTTCCATCGAGGTTTCTACATGTTGGTTATGCTGTCGTTTTTGCTGTTTACTTTGTCGAATAAAAGGACGGCAAGTGATCTTGTCCAGACATGCATCTGAATCCGACCGACCTGACCCCGTTCGACCTTTCTGGCATTCGTGTTTTATCGTTACGCAGCATTTGCTTGTATCTGATCAGTTTCAAGTGTACGATCTTGATATCTCGTACTAAGGTGCTCGAACAATATGATGGCTAAATATATCCCGAAGTTGCCGAGTGTAATAAAAATGGCAAGTACAAACAAAGACCGAAGGTGGCATAACTGCTCGACTGACCCAATTAGCTTCGCGAACTATGTGGGGTCAAATAAGGTCAATTTGCATCGGCAACACAGGCTTTACCACTTGGTCCGATCAACTTAAGTTCCGTCCGAATAAATTCAGACTCTCTCCTACTCTCGCTTCAGCTTTCAGTAGCTTATGCGTAACCAAGTTATGCTTGTAAACGCATTTGCCTGATGTGAGTTACCGAAAAGAGATATGCAACTGTGTTTTTCTTAAAGACGAGGGATTAATATGGCTAACGCAGGTCAAAGTACGCCTTACGGATACTTATAAATGGTGATTAGTGGTGCAGAAGCAGGGTTCTCTAGGTTCTTAAGATGGTAATCGAGACAGAGGATGAGTTTGTTGTCACAAAATCATAATGTACAAATGAAGAAGTGGCCGCAGCAGTTTTAGTGACAACGTTGGCGGATTTAATAAGAGTCAAACTCACTATATCTGAAATGTATGCATATGAAACAATAAATTTAAGCAATGCGCAATGCAGGGACAAAATCGGATAAAAATCGGTTACTGCATATTCAAGCCTAAAAAATTTGTCGTCAATAAAAACAAAATGCAAATTTTCGTGTCTGTTATGCACAGAAAGCTCCAATGAAAAAAATGGAGCTCATTGTTCGAGTGACATCAGGATGAGAACAAGACTAGATTAAGCCAATATTGCATTGAGAACCGGTTGAAAGAGAGGGTGGGAAAGTGAGTCAAAGCCGAAATGCGATGGCGAGATATAACACCTGATAGGCGACGAATGCAGATCGTGCAACCGCCAAGCACCTACGTGGGGGCAAGGGGTGACAGCGAAACGAACGGGAAGATATGTGTCGAAAGTGTAGGATTTTTGGACAGAGTATGACCAAGAACACAGTGAAAGTAAGAACTTGAGTGTCGATCAGAAAAATGAGCGGACGAAGCCATCCACCTCAGCACTCGATGCTTTAGCAAACGGTATTGGAGTCGTAGTCCGTTCCTGATCCGTTGAAGAAGGGTTTGACATCATCAGAGTGGTTCATGGGAGATGGTTGGGAAGATTGTTGACCATATTCAGACTAAAAAGAAGAGCAACGGTTACAGCGGCATGAGTTACATTGGGAATAGAACAATGATGTATTACGAGTAAAATAAAGTAAATGTCTAAAAGTTCCGTAAAATGGCCAGAATGAGAACCATAAAAAGGTGAAACATGATGATAAGATGAAAAGCATTTTAATGCACCGGCCACAGTATTCACAGAGACATGCAGAAAAAGGCCAAGCTCGGTCGTGTAGGTTATTTTTGGTTGAGCAATGTAATGCATGTGGGAGCGTTCTACGGCAGACAGACAAGAAGGGAGTGAAAGTTTCGCCGGCATTTTAGTCAAATGGATTGCGTGGCCAACTTGAGCTGGTGGCTCCTCAAATTCATGTTGTTACTGAGCTGCAGAAAGTGGCGGCAAAGGTGGTTTAGGTTCCTTAAAATCTGGTAGGCCAGTGTTAGGTCTGCAGTGATTGTGGTTACACTATATTTTATCTTTGTGCTTATCATTTCCGTTACCGATCATTTTGTACCTTTTGTTTAAATTCAAAAATTTTGTATACAACAATTTCTACGCGCTCGCGTCGTACTGCTTTCGTCTGCTGCTGCTGCTGCCACATCTTTCCAGCAGTCGGATTTATATCTTCGATTCGCTATTCGGTATCGGGAAAACATTGACTGAAGGAAGAATTATAACGCAAGTCTGCTTGATTGTTCTTCTATTTTGAGTTTTGCTTAAGATTATCTTTTGCCTCTGCATTCGAACTTAGTAGGTAACGGTCCTCTACAGGTCCCCACACAGGCGCCGATAATGACCGCTGTATAATCGTCGAGTTTTCAGCCTAAGTTGATATGGAAGGTGGGGCAACCCGCTGAAATGTGCTTGGTGGCTATGCGCCGTCCAGTCCCGAGCGCTACGAGATCTCGCTTGTGCAGGGGCTGTTATGTCTGGATTGCGTATTCCACATGAGACCGCAAATATGTATTAAGCAACTGCGAACAGACAGACAAATCAAACTGCACGAACACCTCCTGCAGCATGCCAGCGTGTTAGTTGCCAGTCATTGACACGTTTCCCAATTATTCTGAGCAGCCTCGATCAGCCTGCGTTAATACGATTGGATGAGTGCTTGTAGTTTATAGCCTCTAAGCTTGTATATGTTGTCTGGCTAGTGACGAAGGTGGACCTCCATACACCTACACAAATAAAAATGGAGCAGATTGCAGAATGACAATTGCCACGCCCAGTCCATGCCTCGTTGAAGTGTATCGTGTCCTCCGTTTTTGGCGATCGTCCACCATATCTTAGCATCATCAGCGAACAGCAAGAAATCTGAGGCGAGCAAACGCATCATCTCGTTAATGAACACGAGGAACAGACGCGGCTCCAGAACTGATCCTTGTGTGATTCCACATTCGACAGGAATCGGGTCGGACAACTCTGACGCGAAATTGCTGATTCTGCATGATATTCCTGATCCACCCAAGGACAGGATCCCCAACTGCATAGCTTTCGAGCCTGTGAAGCAGAATGCCGTGGTACAGTCGGTCGAAGGCCTTGGAGAAGCCGAGGTAAATGACGTCTGTCCCTCTACGTTTATCGGGCGCTTCTGTCCAACTAATCCGTGCAATCAGTAGGTTGGTAGTGAATGAACGGTGTTGGCGGAAACGGTGTTGCTCGGGAGTTTTGATGTTGTGGCGCTCTAGATGGTCTACTTAGGCCTCAACGATGATTTCCTTCATCAATTTTAGAGCACAAGGAGGAGGACCAATGGGCGATAGTTGACGGGTTCCGAGCGATTACCGCTTTTGAAAATTGGAGTGATTAAGCCATGTTTCTATATGGTAGGCACAATTTGCTTATCTAACCAAGGTTGGAAAAAATGCGATAATGGCCCGGTCAGCGTTGTTGCTGGTACCTTCAGCGTTCTCGGGTGAATATAATCGATTCCGGGAGAAGTGTAGGTGCGTAGAGAGAGCAATTTGTTTAACACAGATGTGGCAGTAAAATCGATGTTAGTGAGCGTTGAAATTGGGACGATGGATGTAGGTATGTAACAGTGGTGGACGTCTCGTTGGAAGGTTGGGCATACTGTAACCGTATGGCGTTGGCTGCCTTTTCAGAACTCTGTGCGACTCCAACTGCAGTGTTAAGTGGAGAAATATCGAACTTCAGCTTCCGGATGGTGTTAACATGCTTATACAGGAGCTTTTTGTTGTCGTCAAAAGCTGCTGTCACTGAGCGCACACAGCTTTTTGAGTAGACGAGGTTCAACAGAAAGCATTGCATGTGGCAGCCAAGCATCTATTCGAACCACTTGCCGGAATCTTTCAGCGCTGTCTAGACGATAACACAGTTCCGTCGAAGTGAAAACGAGATAGTATTACTCCTATTCACAAGGGAGGAAGTCGATATGCGATTGCGCATTACAGCCCCGCAACCCTTCTCCATTTGCTCGCCAAGGTCATGGAAGCGATCAACGCAAACGTAATAATGGGGACTACCTGAGAAGCTAAGGAATCATCGCGGCGGAGCAGCGTGAGTTTCGTCAACGAACTTGTTGATAGTATGCGACAACCGGACCGAAACAGTCAACGAAGAGAGAAGAACCGATGTTATATACTTGGATTTTCCAAATGCATTCGATCGCTTGCATCATCGTGTCTTACAGAAAGATGGTATAGGAGATTCAGTATTGGGATGGATCGGTAACTTTCTTCTGATCCGTTTCGAGTGGAGGGTGATTTACCACAGGGTTCGGTCTTGGGCCTCGCCTTTTCTTAGTCTTCATTAACGATATAGCGAAAGTTGTCCCAGCAGAATGTTTACTCTTTTCAGAAGGCGTTAAGATTTGGTGGGCGATCAAGAGACTAGACGACCACGAGAAATAATTCAGTGCGACTTCGATGAAGCCTGGAATTGGTCGGAGAGGAACGCGCAGCCATTCAATGTGGACAAGTGCGGAGTTGTAAACATCCGCCATCAAGACGCCTACATCTGCCCACTTAGGTGTACTATCTGAAGGTCATCACTTAGGAATGTGCCCACGGCTTGTTGGTACAGGATGACTTTGATTGTTCTAGGCAGTCAGAGTCCGCTTCAAAAAGTGATAACTAGCATGTTGATTCCTTGCAGAGGGTAGTCAGGACATTGGATTCCTTTATCTTCTCACTGATGTTTAATGCCTACGTGCGATTCTAAGTCGAATACGTTATTCATGCCTGGCAACCTTGGCTAAAGGGGGGCCTCGCCACGCCTGAAAGTTCCCAACGTCGGACAATGAAATAGATCATGCATTTGCGCTACCTTCTGTACCATGAACGACTGAACGCAAGTGGAGTAAACAGTGGACGCTACCGGCGGATACGTGGAGACCGCATTAGTATATCAAACACTGAAGGATTCCGGTTTCGTATACTGTCACCTTCTGAAACTCATCCCAAAAACCTGAGAGGTAATAGCTTGAAACTGAGTCAATACAGTTGTATAGATTGTCGGCAAACTTACTTCTCCCTCCGAATCTGCCAACCCTGGGTGCTCTCCCAAACTCAGTTGTTTGTCTTCCCACACTAGCTATTTCCAAAAAACGATTGTATATCATATTGGATTCCTTACATTTTGTCACTTGAACGGATATGCTAGGATGTATGCATGCCAATTAGCTTCTTTGGAATTACAACCAACACGGATTCTGAACTCTACTAAAGTGGGAGCAAAAACAGCAGATTTGGGGAAGGCATTCCACGCTTGGCAAACGCGTATGGCACTACAAATGACTGTACTGCTCTGCTAGCTTGAGAGGATGACTTCACAGGTTGTTGCTGTGATTAAGAGGATAGACATGTTGGACACGTAATGCAAGGTGGTGGGCTGTAAAAACAAATACAATTTGATAGAAACAAAATAGAAAGAGACGAGGTGTACGTGGTGAAAAACAAGAATATCAGCAAATAGAGAACGCACCAGTTTCGTTGCGCCGTGCTGCTTTGCAAACAGAGAGCGGTCGGAATCGAAGGTAAGTACTTTGGGTTCAGAATCAGCAGCATCAGACCGTGCCAGTTCAGGACAATGTGACTGAGAGGTATAGGTTATTGACTTTTGGTCGAGCAATGAAGGCGATTCTGGACGCCTCAAAGTTTGATCATCTGTGGGTATGCTCGATCTCGGTCTACACAGCTTTGGTGTTGCTTCGTTGTCAAGCGAGGAATCGCAGTTGTACGTCCCATTTGAGGCGGTGGTAGAAGCTGTGGACCCGGTAAAGTTGGCAGACAAATGTGTAGACATAACAAAATATGAGTGGGCGCTTACATGAAAACGGCGCAGCGAGAGTTGAGTGTGGACGACAAAGAGTTACTTGTAATATATCTAGTGGGTTGGAAAAACTCGTTTGAGGCGATGGGATCCGACTTGAACGGAAAACGGCCGGAAACAGTTTAAATATACGATTGTGAAACGAACATTGTTTCTGCACAAGTGCGCAGTGAAACCCTGAGGACAGTTGTGGCATGAGGACTGATAGATGAGACCGTTTGCGTTGAAGATACGCGGGACGGCGTGAGACAGATAAATAAGAAAACGGCGGTTAAGTAGAGAATCAAGTGGTCAGGATGAAGTATGATTTCCGGTAATAGGCCGCGAAGAACCTTTGCATCGAAGCAGTAAGTGTGGTTAGTGAGATAAGGTTCTTCCAGCAATTTTAGCTTGAAACTCGTACTCGACTTCAACTCCTCTGAAGTACGTTGTGTCACGGAAAGGCGACTGAGGTTCTATTCTGTGACGTGTAATAACCAAATTCAAATTGTATAGTGGTTATGTTTGACATTGCTGGTAATACTGGAGTGTCAATTGTGACAAGTTAAAAGCGGCAAGAGTATAAGTGGCTAACAGAGGACTAAAATCCTCACTGGTAGAACCGTAACGAAAGAGGGATGTATCACAATTACGGCCCAGGATAATTAATGACGATGATCAAGCATAAATGTAGAGTTAAAAAACAGGGAACATTAAGTGCCCGGTTAATGAAACTCAGTCAAACAAAAATCAGAGGCCATTAATACGCGAGCCAATGCACTTGAAAAATAGTTGGTAATTAATGCGGGAAGGCACAGCGAAATTCTGAGCATGTAGTTGACAGGCCCCTTCGTGTGCACTGGTTTAACATCCACCCAGAGGGAGGGCGACACAGTCTCCAACTGCTTCCATACTTATGTGTACCCCGTGTCAGTGTTTGTGATGGTTAAATAAGTAACGGGTAAGTGCATTGGTCGATAAGTTCAATGTGGGCGTATAGCTCTGCTTACTGATCATGTTTGTGGATCCCAGCAACACCAAGGATGCATGTCGGCGACAAGCGATCTCTAGTTCACCACAAAAGAAAGTAGTCAAAATGTGTATGGACATCAGGCTAGGTTTAGAAAGAACTTTCGGTCAATGAATCGAAAACAGTTGGGGCAACTAGGATGGATCAGTATTTGTCAATACATCATCTTTGGGACTCCAGGGAGGAAGGAAATTGAGTCTGCGCAAACAAGAAACACGTCTCATTACATGACGCGGCGACAAGGCACATGCAATTACTGGCGATACCGAGGAGGTTCGCTCAGATGGGACTCTGCGATTGTGCTTTCAGGAAGAATGCACTGATAAAGACAGTTTGTCTGATGTGGGTTCAGCATGTAGCTACCCGGCTCATCCTCAGTTTACAGGGTATGACTTAGGTGGACCGATGTAGACTGTTATAGGACACGGACACGATCAAAAAGTCACGATGGCGGGGGGCGGAAAACAGGCGTTTATTCAGTATAGGGTAGCCTATTTAAAAGAAATAAACACTGTTAATCTTCGAGCCTTCTCAGTGGGTCTTCTGTTTTTCGGTTCACCTCATTGGTCGCGTTCCCCTTTTATTTCATTGGGTTATGCTATTCCTCTTCGGTCGCTGTCTTCCTGTCTCGCGCAATGATCACATCTTTCGTGCTTGGCATCTGATTGGCCGTATTTCTTTGGACCGCTCATATTCGGCTTTGCACTCTGAAACTTGCCGTTAATAGCGATTCTCGAGTTGCCAGTGCGCCCTCCATGTTCTATTGTCCAATCCGGTTTGTCGGTTTCTGGATACGTGTGCCACTCGTGATTCGCTGTCCAGCCATCGCTGTGTCTCCCGGTGGGTTCACGCGTTCTCTCGATCGAACTGATCTGCTGACTCCGGTAACCTGCGCTTAGGTGGTAAGGTCGAGCATACTGGACCGGTTTCCTAAACCCCGTTACATCCTTTTCCTTTTGTTTTGTTAGGATTGCGCCGCAGTATGTCCCATACTGCTTTCCGCTGCGTGTGAGTTTCCTTCCTTCTGCAGGGGTGACGCGTATCTGTCTTGGCTGCTGTTGTCCGTTTTCCATCTGGGTAACACGCGTACAACCTGCTTTCCGGACCTGTACTCGGTTCCGCTTAATTGTAGTGTCCCCAACCTTCACTTCGTAGCTTCTCTCTCCCTTGCGGCTCTGAATAACTCCCTTCCTCCAGTGTCCCTCTGATCCTGGTACTGGTTGCACCCACACTTCTTCTCCCAATGCTAGAGGTTGGAGTTTTCTCGCCCCGCGATCGTAGTATCTCTTTTGCCTAAGCATTCTGTTTCGTAACCGCTCGTGTATCGAGGTCGTTGGTGATACTTCAGGTGTTAGCAGATTTGACGCAGTTGGTATCAACGTTCTTGTCCTCCGGCTGAAGAGTCGCTGCACCGGACTTGCCCCAATTTCTGTTGATGGCGTGTTTCTGCGTTCCAGCAACATAATATAAGGGTCCTCCTGAGTCTCCTTAGCTTTGGTAAGCACCTTCTTTGCTTCTTTTACCGCCGACTCGGCCTTTCCATTTGATTGGCTGTGATATGGGCTAGTAAGCCGGTGATGGAAATCCCACTTTCTGCTGAACTCTCGGAACTCTGCGCTAACGAACTGCGGCCCGTTGTCCGAGACTACTACCTCCGGTATTCCGTGACGAGCAAATTGACATCGTAGCTTATTCACCACTGCGTCTGTACTGGTCGTAGCTAGAGCATCGATTTCAAAATAGTCACTGAAATAATCAACCAACACTAAGTAACTTTTTCCATCGTGGATGAAGATGTCTACTGCAACCATCTGCCAGGGCCTGTCCGGAACGTCACGAAGCATCATCGGTTCTTTTGACTGACGTACGTCGTGTGTTCGGCATGCCAGACAATTTGAGACGTAATCTCGTATTTGGCTGGTCATTCCCGGCCAAAACATTAGCTCTCGCGCTCTGGCCACACAATTGTTGACTCCCAAATGTGCATAGTGGACAAGCTCTGTCATCGCGCGCTGCAACGCTTTGGGGATTAGTATCCTATTGCCTTTGAATATCAACCCGTCTTGGACAATGAGTTCATCACGAAAGTGGAAAAACGGGGTCAGCACTCCTGGTAGATCTTTCTTGTTCTTGGGCCAGCCACTTAGTATTGTCTGCCTCAGTAGCTTGCATAACTCATCTTCCTCTGTGCACTGCTGGAGTTGTTTCAATCGTTCCTCGGTAACAGCTACTAGTTGTGCTGCATGAACGAAATCTGAATCTTCGTCTTCCTCTGGTGTGTCTGACAGATATGCCCTGGATAACGTGTCTGCGATATGCATTTCGGGACCAGGTCGATACACAATCTCTAGGTCGTACTTTTGAAGGCGAATAAGCATTCTCTGTAAGCGGCGGGGAACAACATGTAGCGGCTTGTTGGCGATGGAAACCAACGGTTTGTGATCTGTAAACACTGTAGTCTTCCGGCCAAATGTATAGTCATTAAAACGTTCGACGGCGTAAACAACTGCAAGCATCTCTTTTTCTATCTGGGCGTAACGACGCTCGGTCTCTGTCAACGTCCTACTGCGAAAATTGATGGGTTTCCCATTCTGCATGAGTACGGCCCTGATACCAAATTGACTGCTGTCGCATTGAATCTCGAGAGAGAGTTGCGGATTATAGTAAGCGAGAACAGGTGCGTTAGTGATGAGTTCCTTGATTGCCTGGAAGGCCTCTTCTTGTTCTGCACCCCAGTGCCAGCTTTCGCCCATATGAGTCAACTTCCTGGTCGGTGTCATAACATCAGCTAACTTGGGCAGGAACCGGCTCAGATAATTGATCATCCCATTTAGCCTGCCAACCGCTTTCACATCTGTGGGGGACGGCATATCTCTTATAGCTCTTACTTTCTCTGGGTCTGGTTTTAGCCCTTCCGCGCTTAACACATGCCCGTGAAATATAACCTCTGTACTGCGTAGTTCGATCTTTTCACGTTTCAGTTTGATGTTTCTTTCAACACAACGTTGTAAAAAGCTACGAAGGTTCTGATCGTGCTCTTCACGAGTAGCGCCAAAAACCAACACATCGTCCGCTACGCAGAATACTCCCTGTAGATCGTCCAACGCTTGCATTAGTCGCTTCTGGAAGATTTCGCTAGACACTTTCAGTCCAAACGGTAAACGAAGCCAACGGTACCGCCCGAATGGTGTTCCGAAAGTTGTCATGTAGCTTGACTCATCATCTAGTGATACGTGCCAGAACGCAGAGGCGAGGTCGACTTTCGTGAACACTTTAGAATTGCATAACACCGGCAGCATGTCGTCTAGTGTCGGTAACGTAAAATACTCTCTTTTGAGTGCGGCATTAAGCGGTTTCGGATCAATGCATATACGCAGCTCGCCTGACTTTTTTGTAATAATCGCCACCTGGCTGACCCAATCAGTCGGTTCGTCAACTTTAGCTATCACTCCCAGACTACAGAGACGTTGCAACTCACTCAAGAATTTTTCGCGCAAAGCAATTGGCACCTTCCTAGCTGGTAACGCCACCGGTGTTGCTAGCTCGTTTAACGATAAGTGAGCGGGTCCCTCGAACATCCCTACTCCGCCATCAAACACACTCGAGTACTTATCAAAAATATCTGCCTCGATGTCACACGCATGAACAAAACGTTCGTGGTTAAAAGAAACAAAACCAAAACGCTGGATAGAATCAATGCCCAGAATGGGCATAAGGTCTTCCGAAACAATCAGGAACTCCAGCGGGTGTTCTGTTCCTTCCTTTGGATTGACCGTCTCCAAAATGACGATGCCCTTCGGTTGTAGCCTTGAGCCGTTCCACATTTTGAGACACTTTTGAGTTTCTTCACATCGCACCCCCTTGCAGTATTTTTCAGGCAAGATGTTAACCGCAGCCCCGGAGTCTAGCTGAAAACGTACCGGTTGTCCTCGAACCAAAAGTGTTGCAAACACACACTTGCTTTTCGCCCGGCCATCCATGTTGTTTATCAACAATTCTTGTTCCCGTTCTCTGGCATCGTCGGCAACCGAACTCACTCTGTATGATCTACAGCAACGAGCAAAGTGACCTTTCTTGGAGCACTTCATGCACGTCCGACCCCACGCTGGACAACTCTCCTTCTTCTTTTGGTGCCTGCGGCCGCAAAACTGGCAATCAGTTACCTGTTCATCGGGTGATCTCGGGATACGTCCCTCGGTTCGGGATACTGCAAACAACTCCGTATTCTTTTCGGCGCGCAGATGTTCGACTTGCTGATCTGTTCTGGCCTCACTGAGGCAGATGTCGACACACTGTTCCAGTGACAAGTTCCTTTGTCGCAGAAATCGGCGTGTGAGTTCATCGTTCCTTATCCCAATAACGATGCGATCCCGTATCAGTGACTCCTTCATGCATTCACAGAAATTGCAAGTTCGTGCCAGGAGCTTCAGTTCTGTGATGTATCTCTCGAACGACTCCCCCGGTAAACGATCGCGTCCAAAAAACAGATATCGTTGGTAGGTCTCGTTCACACGCGCTTCGCAGAACTCGCCAAATGTCCGCATCACTTCGGAAAGATCCGCCTTCTGGTCGCCAAACTTCAGTGTTTCAAGAACCCTCCTTGCATCGTCACCAATAGCGTGCCTAAACATTGCGAGTTGGTAGTTCATCGGCTGGGCGTCCAGCTGAGTCAGTGTTGCGAAATCCGCCCACTTGCTCTTCCAAATCCGCCAACTGTCTGGTAGAGAACTCTCAGTCATCTGCAAAGGGGATGGAAACGGAATCGCCGGTTGACCTCCAACTGCAAGCTGCATCTTGGGCATCGGTTTCTTCTTCTCCTCTGTCACCATGTTATAGGACACGGACACGATCAAAAAGTCACGATGGCGGGGGGCGGAAAACAGGCGTTTATTCAGTATAGGGTAGCCTATTTAAAAGAAATAAACACTGTTAATCTTCGAGCCTTCTCAGTGGGTCTTCTGTTTTTCGGTTCACCTCATTGGTCGCGTTCCCCTTTTATTTCATTGGGTTATGCTATTCCTCTTCGGTCGCTGTCTTCCTGTCTCGCGCAATGATCACATCTTTCGTGCTTGGCATCTGATTGGCCGTATTTCTTTGGACCGCTCATATTCGGCTTTGCACTCTGAAACTTGCCGTTAATAGCGATTCTCGAGTTGCCAGTGCGCCCTCCATGTTCTATTGTCCAATCCGGTTTGTCGGTTTCTGGATACGTGTGCCACTCGTGATTCGCTGTCCAGCCATCGCTGTGTCTCCCGGTGGGTTCACGCGTTCTCTCGATCGAACTGATCTGCTGACTCCGGTAACCTGCGCTTAGGTGGTAAGGTCGAGCATACTGGACCGGTTTCCTAAACCCCGTTACAGACTAGGGCTTTATACTCTGTCATACCGTTGGCTTCGAACTGACCTCATGATGACGCACCGGATATTGCACTTGGGCCACTTGCCTAAGTTGAGGCCGCTACTGCAAGTTCGTGCATCAAACAGTACACACGGTCACCGGTACAAACTAGTGGTACCAGATTTAAAGCACCCCGCTCACCCTCCATGTTTCGAGCGTCGAGTGGCGAAATACTGGAAAAAGTTGCCGGAGACGCTAGTCGAGGCGAAATCGGTGTCGGAAGTAAAGAGATTCCTTGACGCCAACTTTGCGGATTACAGGTGTAGGGAGCGTATCGTACCCGGATAAGATGTAGTGTAGCTGTAATATGCTGTCACCGCGCTTGATCACCGACGTGATTTCGTGCAGGTGCCCAATCCACCTACGATGGGGCAACACAAATTTTTATCTGCTCGCTCTCTACTTTCAGTATTCAGTACTATGCTGAATGAAAGATCAGCTGATGCGCCCCACAGAAGTGTTCGTCCCATATTGATCAAAACAAGAGACAGAAACACAACTGTCCCATGAGATATAATTGATATTTAGCCCATGGCACACCCAGCGGAACGCATGGGGATTACCGGGAAGAATTGATTTACGGTAGGATGTAATGAGCCATGCATTGTGATACGTTGCGGACGTGTCTCAACTACGCAAGGGAGTCTCTTAGGGGATAGCACTCATCATGTTATTGGGGAGCATCCTCTACTATACCAGTCGACAAACAAAGGTGTTCGATAATCCAACTCCAAACCAACCAACAGTCGAAAAGAATGTTTAAACATTGACGCGGACATCAGGCACGGTTTTTAGATCGGGAGGGGGGAGGTGCTCGACCGTCACGAAGCTATTCCCGCCTAGGGCGTACAAGTCAGCAGCAAAGCGCAACTTTGAAACCAAGTGATGATGAAGTACTCTTGCCTCGGATATCAACCATGTGAGTCAGATGGTCGAGGCCTACTTCAAGACAAGTGATAAAGCGAACGAAATTGCGTCTCAAGGATCAAGTGCAAGGTAAAAATATCAACGGAAGATTAACAGCGCTACGAAATGCACTACTACGACTACACGACTACCACTACACGATTACGATTACGACTACACGATTACG